CCCCAGCCCAGGGTCTCTAGCAGGGAGCTTGCCTGAAAGCAGCCCAGCTCTACCTATCCGGATGGAAAGTTCACTCTCGGAGAAGAGCAGCCGGGGACCCTCAGCATCGGATTTCTTTATCAACGCAGGGTCGAAGTTCAGGGCCAGGGCCATCTGGGGGTCTTCTGCTGCACCCTGAAACAAGAAGCAGTCACTGTAACAGCTGTACTACCTTTGTTCCCGAGGCCCCTCCAGCTCAGCCAAGCTCTCCCAAGAGCACCAGGGCTGCTGGGCCAGTCTCTGGGCCAGACCCAGCTGGCAGCAGGCTGGGTCATTAGGAAGATGACAAGCTTTCTGGCTGTAGAACATTTGGAGGGACAAACGTAGGATCTGAGGAGTCGGCGCTGATCCTAGAAATGGGGGGGGGGAAGCACCTCAAAACCCCACTGCACAGGGCAAACGACTCTGTCCCTGAACGGTCAAAAGACGCCCACACGGCACGTTCCCTTGGATGGCAGCCTCACCACAGCAGCCAAGGTCAACGTTTTTTTAAGAATTCACCTTCTTCACGCTTCTCCTGAGATCAAAAGGGGAGGAGATGCAAGCGAGAGCACCTCACAGGACGGAACGAGTAAGAGTCTTGAAGACAAACGGAGTCGGAGTCGAGTCCAGGTGGCCCTACAGAGACCACGTCACCCCTGTGCTTCGTCTGTCGCTACTTAGTTCGACTGTTTCTGCGTTAACTAGGCAAAGTTTTGATTTTGATCCCCACATTTATTTCACAAATATCGACTGACCACCAATTTTGTGTATCCTTGACGGGCAAAATGAGACAAAGTCCCACCTCTTAGGTTTCTGTTAGGAACAGACAGATGAATCCACAATGGGGCGGCCATGGGCTGTTCCTCCCAGGGCCTCAGCAGGAACCCCCAACCCTGCTGACGGCCTACAAACACACAGGATCTCCAGAGGAACGAGGAAAAGGGGGGACCCCACCAACACAGACACCTCTACATTCATCCAAACACATCGGCGCTGAGGGAAGGTGAGTAGAGTCATCTCAGTGGGCAAAAAATCAGCAGGTATTTTTTTGAAAACCAGGCAAAAATAGTTCTAAACAAACAGAAGTTTCCATTTAAAACTATGTGTCTCTAATATAGGAAAGAAGGAGGATTGTGGTCCAGTCACTGAGATGCAGCCATTTTTATAAGCAAATATGAAAACTGTTTTCTTGGGTACGTTTCTTTCATGAGGGAATCTCCCCAAAGTTATGCGTGGCTGTGCCTTACACACACACACACACACACACACACACACACACACACGGATCAGAAAGAGAATCTAATGATTCAGACATTTTATTTCATTCTTTCTTTCCAACTAAATGAAAACATAAACCCTTTCTTTCACGTCTTCTCACTTGTCTAATATAGCGATACTGTCCTAATCATTTATTTGCAATGTCCTCTATAATGCATATAAGGGTGCCGGCCCCTCATTAACCTTGTTTTAAAAGGGGGGGGGAAAAAAGCCTTGTGGCTCTCAGGTCCCTCCCTCTGTAGAATCCTAGGGGCTGCAGGATTTCATCTGCTTTGTCACTGGGAGAAGCACAAAGAAAGACAGCCTGTCCCACTGTACCACAGTCCAGGCTGACACTACAGATGGATGGAATCCTGGGGACAGAAGGGACTTTTAAGAATCTCTCCCCCTGTAGAAAGCCCCTCCGATCACCCCCGAGTGACAGCTGGTGTCTGTGCCACGGGCCATATAGTCACAATTCTGTTTGTTTATATGCTTTAATTATTTCTAATCCTACATCTCATGCTGACATCTGAGGAATCATGGCAGCAATAAAAGATGTGTTTTCGCGAGGAGAGCGTGTCAGCTGATCTTCCTTCCTTTGTCTTCCTTCTTTTTATAATGTGATTGATGCGTAACTGGGGGGAGACTACGGGAAAGAGAGCCACTTCATTACAGCAAAAATGCAGCAGCATTAATATGCTCGAAGCCGTTTATTTGACTGGAGCCATTTAGTAAGGTGCAGCCTGGAGAGACCCTGCTTATAATTGAGAACAGTGGTTTGCAACTGGAGGGATGTGTGCCCCCACCCCAGGGGACATTTGGCAACGGGCATTTTTGTATGTGGGGGTGGGGGTGGGGGAGAGAAGTGATGCTGGCATCTAGTAGGGAGAAGCCAGGGATGCTGCTAAACATCCTACAATGCCCAGGACGACACCCAGGACAAATGATCTGGCCAAATGTGCCCTGTGCTGAGGTTGAGAAACCCCGACTTCAGGAAGATTTAGGACGATCAGGACCCCGAAGCTCCCCGTATTACTGGTGGTGCTGGGAACTCACAGAACCCCTTTTTACGGTAAACCTAAGAATTTTGCCACTCTCTCTAGGAAGCCTGCTCGCCTTCATGTATTTGGCAAATTCTTATGAAGCATCAGCTGTGTGTCAGAACGATCCTCGATGTTGGCAATACAAAATAGCTACAGCCCGTCCTCGTGAAATCCTGCATTCTCCTTTGAGAGACAGACAATAAACTAACAATACGTCAAAAAACAGAGCACCAGGTAGTGACAGTGTTGAGAAGAAAAATAAGTCATAGCCAGAGCGAGCGCAGCCGCCCTAGGACAACAGCGCTGGGTGCTGGGTCCCAGCACTTCACGCATGCTAGCTCACTACGAATGCAAAGATGGCAGCTCGCTCCTTCAGGTCAGATGCTGAGACGGCGGTGTTGGAGCTGAGACCTGAATGCCAAGGAGGAAGCCACCCTGCCTTCCAAAGACAGTATTTCCGGCAAACATCCCCTCCCCGCCAAAGCCTTTTGCCATTTTATCAATTATGTTGTGAGTTGTATTGCTTCATTTCAATGCTGAAGTGGGGGGAGAGCACGAGGCGGGGAGGGTGCAGTGTACTAAGAAAATCCTACCCGAATTCCAGTTAGAAGCTGCCCTTTGAAAAGCTAGACAGACTCAGCATACCCACTCCCTGTGCCCACCCCCCTCCTACGTGCTGGGTCCCACAGTCAGGCTGCAGAAGGGCGGGGCCGCTGTGCAGATGGGAGCGCCAGGGTGCATCCTCAGACTGATGCCTCACA